TAGTGATCTGTTAATTAATGTACAACAAAAAACAAAATAGAAAATTGTTAAAATGGACTGCAAATTCTACTTCCAGGTATGTTACCAGCTCAATTGAGCGAGCCGAAGGATATTATACATTTTGTAAAATAATAAGAATTTTGTAGGTATGTTGTGATATAATGTATTCTAAATTATAATTAAAATCGAAGTTAATAAAAATATTAATTACCTACTAAATGAATTACCTAACTAGGTATCTAGTTGCGAACATATTATATACCTAGGTACATAAAATTATACGAGTATATAAACTAGATAATTAAAATAATTTTTTATCTTATGAAATGTTACTTTGCTTTAGTCCCAAGTTATGTTTCTATTTTTTTTTTTATTAATATTCATAAATCATTAAATAGAAGTTACTAATTTAAAGTTAAATTAATAATTTGTACACATCTTTAAAACGTAAAAAATATATACTTATATATATATGATCAGGTACATAAGAAGTTGCATTATAGGTCATAAATTAATAATTTTTGAGAAGTAATGTCTTAATAGCTTAGGTTCTATTTTAACTATAGTTAATTTCTTCCGGATAACCTTTGAATATTCATTAATTAATGAACCAATTAGATACAGCTCATTGTAGTAGATTATGTTTTAATTTCTGTCAATAATCAAAAGCTTTATAAAGTTGATAAAACACTTAATTTATTTAATATGACTACAAATAATCAACAACCACGAACTTACATAGGTATATCTCAACTTTTTAATTTAATACATGATTTATATGTTATAAAACTGGATATGTAAATCAATGTTTAAGCTTAAGGTCGTTAACCTAGGTAACTTCTTGTTTGCACTTTTTCTTTTTTCCTTTTCTCACAGATATACGGATTTAGTCACTCTTGTTTTACACTTCCATATGCTCTATTATTCCGCTTTGCATCCGTTTCCTCACCTTTTCCCCTGCATTTACTTCCATGTAAATTTTCTTTGCTTACCTTTGTGTCATCTCTCATCGTACTACGATTGAACTATATCAAATCGTTCTCTCATATTTTAGTATAACATGTACCCTTGACAAATTAATTTATTTTATTCTCCCTAGTCATTGATATATCTATTTTAGCATTCTCACGTCTACCGTTTATTATACACTTATAACATTGCCTTACTTCTACTAAACTAGTATTACTAGTGACGTGGTGAACTTGAAATTTTTTAGAGGCTTGTCTGATATTCCAATTCCACCTACCTATCTAAATTTGGTAAAGGTATTTACTATCATATTATTAACTACTTAAAAAATACTAGTTAATTTCGAGGACAAACGAATATGCAGTTAGTGACTCCGCCTACCAAGTGTGATTACACACGAGATAGTTTTCAAACACTAATAGGAATATTTAAAAATATACTTATTTTATTATTTTTGTTTAATATTTTCGTAAAAGTATATTGATAAATTTTTTTTAAGTACCTGTTAAATTAATTAAAATTAATTTTCAACCAGTATATACATGTATAAAGAAATGTAATCGTATAAGTTTGAAATACATGTACTTTTAAGGTGTGAACGTTACTTTAAATATCTGCAGGTTTTTTAATTAACCGACGGTTGAGTTACTAACTACACATTTGTTTGGCCTCAACTATTATACTATATTTTTATCTATTAGCTATTATTCATGCACCCACTACTCCTTAAATCTCAGTGACGATTACTTCTCAATTACGCCTTCACAAAGCCACTATCCTAACCTTTTTGTTCATCACCCTTTTATATGCCAAACATTCTAAAAATATTTTTCCTCGTCTTAGTCAACTCTTTCACTTCTAATTTTCTTTCATCGTACCTGGTTATCGAAAAAAAATTTTAAAAATTGCTAAGAGAACATCAGACCTGACATTGCGAATGTCCTAATTTGCATCTAGACTTTATTGATAGCTAAAGTAGTATTATACTAGCAATCATAATAAAAATAATTGAAATGTCGTGGATAATATAAATCTCCTAATTAATTTTTAATATTAAAAGGAAAAATAATGGTACACCTCCAGAAAAAAAATAAAATAAAGTTCTGCGGTTCTGCCTAATATATATTTCAATTATAGGGCATGCTTTATAAATTAATTAAATATTAACAAAACAATCCATAGTATCATGTCTGAATCAGAATTAACTACAAGATTTTAAAAATCTTTGAAAAACTTCAAAATTAAAATTACCCAGATTTCCTTATATATAAGACTAAATTCTCAACTGAGCTCATATTTGCTGTTAATATTCACCATAATATTGAATATTATATTAAATATTCTCATATTTACCTTTCTGAATTAAAACGCAACCATAAAAAATAATAAATGTTCATCAATACATACATACTAATATTTTTCTTGTCTAAAGAGGTTAAAAACTTAGTTTAGATTCTAAGAACAACGCTATGGAGCAAGAAAAGCTTAGTACCTACTTAACTACTTTGTGGCTCGAAAAAAAGTGTAATAATAATTTGGACCAAGTGATTAAAAATTTTGATTGTGATTCTATATTTGAATTTGTTGAAAAAGGACGTCGTGTTTCAACTCAATATAAATAATAAAAAATTGTTTGTTTTTTATTAATACTATACCTAATAACATTGATTTTAGAATCAATGCTTATAAAGGTTTTACTGCTACAATCAGAGCTTGATTTGGAAAAAAATAGAAGGGGAACTCATCTGATGTTTGATAAATGAGCGTTCCACACAAAATTAACCGTCACATTACCGTGGGGGCAAATAGAAGGGGTACGCTAAAAAAAATTAAAAAAGAAGGGGAACTCCGTCCCCCCACGTCCCCCTCAAATTAAGCACTGGCTACAATCATTCAAAATATATTTATTATTTAAAGAAATGTATGAGAAAATATATAGTTTAAAGGAAAGATTTTATTTAAGAAGTTGAATTATTAGTGTGTTGGAAATTGTAGGTTGAGAATATGCCTCTACACTACCAGAAATTGGGCCGAATTTACGTGACTTAATTCCGTCCAATAGTATAGCGATCATTTTGAAAGAATAAAAATTTTATTTCAAATTTTGTTACTGAATTGGCCGTAGCTATTAAAAAAGCAAATTTACTGATACAATTTAAAAAACAATTGAGAACTAAAAACCTATCTGATAGATAGTATTAGTAATGTAGAAAAATCTAAAGGTAAACTAGAAAAAACTCAAACACATATGAGAAAAATAGTCAAAAATAAATTTGCCAATATGATTGAAAAAATTCTGAATTCCAATCTAATAAAATTGTCAGATATTTTAATAGAAAATATCAACCAAGATCTCTAGTCATTGAATTCATTCCTTCTGATATACCTAACCTAGTAAATATGAATTACGCCTCTATTTATTACATCTAATGACGTGGAAGCTCTTTTTTAGTCAACTATACAAGAGTATTAAACCGTTGAAATTTTTTATTAGGAAATCTTCAACAATATGTTGTTTCTCATTGCTTTGTTTTTGAATAATACTCATAGTTTTTTATATCTACATAATTTTTAATATTAATACATATCTATTTAGCATCTTTTTTCCATATTTTAAGAAAAATTGATATTTTTATTTCAATTAAGTCTATTCCCTACTCATCAGAAAATAACTGATTCATGTGATTGGTACATGTGTATCATACCTTAATAGAATTAAATTTAAATTGAAAAATAATTACTAATTAGCTTATAGTTTTTTTACATCATGCAATTTTCAACATATTTAAACAAATTATAATTTTTTATTATCACGAATTCATTAAAATATAGGTACCGGCTAGGAGTGGACAACTGGTATGTATAAGTACCTCACGTCTTACCTATATTTGTAAAATATTAATAATTGTTGAATTTAAAATGACTTACAAACATCATATGTATGTATTTATAACACAATTATTATTTATTTGTATAAGTATATTATATTTTATTCTTAAGCCAAAGGTCCAGAGCACAGCGAAATTACAATAACATTTGGGTTGCTCATTCTTGCGTATTTTATGCATTGAGCGTTTAGAAATAAAATATGCATCTACGTCACACTGGTAATACATTGTCCATGACAAAAAATCAATGAATATTTATTTTAAGTTAAAAAAGTGAATTAAAGTCCCCCAGAAAAAGAAAAATCATATGAATCTTTCGTAAATTTAGCTATATCAGTAGAAAGCAGATGTGCAGTTACCGAAAGAATAGCTTTAATCATCTGTGTTTATGGACAGTGTGATGCAATGATCACACATAGGGGCGGATAGGCCCACCGGCAAAGTCCCGGTGCGCCCCCTTCCAATGTACAGACGTACAGTAGAGTAAATTTTTCAAGATTGAATCCATAGGGATTTTAACATTTAGGACCTTATATTTATTTTTATTTAGCGTCTTAGCACTATGTAAAAAAATTATATTAATTTAGTTTGGTGGTTTACCCCATAAGGCATAAATAAATTGTTATTAGAAACATTATTATTATTATTGTTATTATATTGCTTATTTGTCGTCACAACGAGCACGACGTAAAACGGCTTAAACGCCTTAAACCAATTATAGAACAAAAATAATATACACTCGCGATGGTCGACGATAACGTCATAATTATTATGAAATCGTATTATACGAGTCGAACCACGTAAATAATTAGATATCTATTTTTAAATATTTGCTTTTTGGCTTATCGGAATAAATGTGAAACAATTAAACAAATAATATGAATATCATGAAACAACAAAAATTTAAAATACTATCAGTTCTCAATATTCTCATTTATATTTTGTAATCGTATGATCATTGATCAGATACTGGCAAAGTTACAAAGACTAAAATATTAATGGTAAGAAGAATGAAATTATACATAATTATTAATTTGTAAAAATTATCATGTATTAAACGTATTAAAGTTTAATATGGAAAAATATGAATAAAACAAAAAAAACCAAAATTGTCCGGTTTTGCATACCGTTTAGCAAAACAAAAAAAGGAACTGTAAGAAGATGGAAAGAAATGTTTGAAATCAACAGACATGTTTATTAAGTGCGGTAAGTTAATACTAGACATTTATTTTGTACTAAACGTGTTTTAATTTTACATGATAGTGTATTCTTTGTACGTAGTTCTAAGACCTCTTTAGTTTTAACAATTTAAAATGTATTGCAATTACATTTAATTTTATATATACCAGCATTATCAAAGGGATATTTTTATTTATTACTTAACTCATTAAATTAATTATATTAAATTATTATCAGCTAGTTTTTTTTTTTTACAAAACTAAATTTTGTCGATGTAAAAAACAAGTACTGTAGACTGTAGTTTTTTTTTTTTATTTTATATAGTTATTTTGTGCGTTTTTTCCTATCTACCTAATGATTTAATAATACTTTATTAATATAAAATATTTTAAAAGTATTGATCACAAAATAATATTTAATTTGATTTTGATTTTCAAATAATAATTTATATAATTTCTTATAGGTCAAACAAGTATAGTAGGTGCACAAGAGCATTCAGCAGGGGAAGTTGAAGTTATTAACTCTACTCTTCATAATGAAGTACAGAATGACACACATAGAGAAGGTATTGATACATAGTTAATAATTCTAGCAAATTTTACTATATATTCATACTAAATGTAATTTTGACAGTTTATATTTAAATTTGTTATAGGAATCTATTTTTTTTTTTTAAATTAAAATGTCTAATAGGTTTTATTTAATATTTTTAAAGGAAATTCTGTAGATGTTTTTAATGATGTTCATGTTGAAAGTGGTGCAAAGAAAGGTATGGAGGTAGAAAAAAGGAATGAACCTGATCCATACCATAATTATTTTATTCGGCCTAATGAAAACTTTCTTGCTGCATACTTACAATATCATCCACATCAACCACAAACAAATATACCATTTTCTGCAGCCAAAGCGTATACCAGAAAAGATGGAGGAAATTGTATGTGGGTAACTTTCATATCAGAAAACCCTGCTATATTTTGTATTTTATGTATTTTGTATGCTAAGTATACTGATAATAATACATTTATACATGGCATAACGGATTAGAAGCATTTATACAACTGTATTGAAGAATATGAATATTCAAAATGTCATAGAAACAGTGTAGATGCTCACATACTTAGAAAAAAACATGGTTCTGTTGACCATCTTCTTACATATAGCCAAAGGGATTTGAGAAAAAGTCAAATTATTAATCATCGACAAATATTGAACCGGATAATAGACGTTGTGAAATTAATTGGAAAGAGGGGTTTGAGTTATCAAGGTAAATCAAATGAAGCTGCATATACATTAAAAGATAAAAACTTGGACTATGGTAATTTTTTGGAAATAATTACATTATTAGGAAAATATGACTACAAAAAGTCATCTTGATACAGTTATTAATAACAGTCAGAAAAGTCATGACCATGGGTTGAAGCAAGGGGGAGGAAATATTACTTTTTTGTCGAAAATCACTGTTATACTGGTGCTTCTAACATGCAAGGAAAATATAATGGGTTCACCAAAAAATTAAGTAAAGCTACTAAAGAACAGGAAACGATTGTTTTCGTCTTCTCCGTTCTCTCCTTACTTCTCATCATATAAAATTATTAATATACAACTCTTCTTAAAACCAATTTGGACGTATGGAATCCAATTATGGGGCTTCGCAAAACCTAAAAATGTCAACCATATCCAGCATTTTCAATCCAAAGTCCTCCGTGCTATAACCAAAGCATCCTTCTACGTATCAAATCATACATTATATAATGACCTAGTCATCTCTTCTGTCAACGATGTAGCTAAGACCTTCTATAGACGGTTTTAACTTTAACCTACAAAACAACAAAATTCCTTTAGTCAAAGAACTTGCGTCTTTAAATATACCCGGCAACCCACTAAAAAGGTTGAAAAGGTTGTGGTGTAGGGACCTATTAGTTTAGACCAATCTAACTCCTTTTGTTTTTCTTTCCATATCTACCTTTGTTATTTCTACTTATTTTTCCTTATAATATTTACTAACATTGTTTAACTTTCTTTTTTTTTTTTACATCTTTAACTGTAAAAGTGCCTTCACTGGAAAGTGGAAGGTATCTTTAATCTGTCCTTCACGCCATAGTTATCTAATTCATCAATTTCACTTATTGTTCAAAATGTATGTAACAGATTATGGAAATATAAATTAAGTAATAATAATAAAAAAAAAAAACAAACTAAAGAACAGGTGTATATTTGGTGTTATGCACAGTGATTTGTGATACAACCAATATTTCTACTTCATTAATGTCATTATTTGAACTTATCCATGAATGTGCAGTGTTTTTCAAAGACTCGCATAAAAGAATGAACAAGTGAAATGAAAAAGTTTCTCAAAAAAAATTAAACTTAATAGGAGAGGCTATATGGTGGTCCAAAGATAAAGCCATGTGTAAAATATTTGGACGTTTTAATAATCCTGATGGTTTATTATACATAGATTTAATAATTATTTTTAAATAAGTTATTGCAAATGTTCGGTTAAGACCAGAAGCAAGGTTTAAGGTTAAATACTCGAAGGACTTTGCAAGTATGAAATTATAATTGCTACTCAAATATTTTTATGAATTTTTGAAAAGATTACTCCCTTATCACTATACTTGCAAACCAAAGAAATTTATTTTCTTAAAGCATATGCAATGGTATAAGAAACATTTAATCGTTTGAAAACATTTTTCAGAGATTTTAAAGAAATTCAAAAGGCATCGCAAAATTTTGTAATTTGGAGTAATCAAAAATTATCTCTTAATTATGACACAAATTTATCTATTAGTAAAAATTTACTATCCATACGGATTAAAAAAAAAAAAAGATTATTTTCCTATGAGGCAGAAGGCAATCCTGTGACTGACCCTTTAATGTCTTATGAAATAAATTTGTTCAATATAATAATGGATACCAATTACCAACAGTTTTGAAAAAAGGTATGCAGAACACATAACATTATGTGCAGACTTCTCATGTCCTGACCTTAAAAATGTCTAAGACCATTCAAAAAAAGTATAGCCAACTGTTTTTAAACAGGTATTTGAATTAATTTCACCGTTTTTGTCTACATTAACATTAAATGATCTTTAAGTTGAGTTAAAAGATTTTCGTTCTAAATGGAAAAATTTAAACAAAAGTATTCAAACATATTATTCTGAGTTAACAAATTAAATAAAAGACAATTCTGATAGCAGTGATGAATATCAATATGAAAAATGTGAATTAAGTAGTAACAATCATATGAAAGCAGTTGTATTAATTGTTGTTACAAGTTAATAGTTCATTATAATTTTTTTAGCGGAGCGTATCCTTTATGTTACAAATTAATTTTAACTCTGTCAGTTACGTAAGTATCTTGTGAATGTTCATTCTCAAAATTAAAAATATTAAATGCTTTAAGGAATTCATTAACATAAGAGCATTTAGAATGTTTCATGCTTATGGCCTTAGAAAAAGATATTTTATCAAATCTCGATAATGAGGATATTATTAATGTTATTGCAACAAAAAGTATTTTGCTTCAAAAAATGTAACTTTTTTAATTTTTAAAAATTACATTACATTTTAATTTTAATAATTTTCCTTCTTTGTAAATAAATTAAAAACTATGTTTAATAATATTAATATTTATATATTTTTGTCTAGATATGTAATTTTTTATTTAAATACAGTTAATAATATTATGCTATTTCTTAATGTTAAGCTTCATGTGAAACCATTTTTAAAAAATGTAATTTTTCAAGTTATATTCTGTATGAAATACATATAACATGTACAATCAAAATAATTTTTTCAAAAACTTGGTTATTGCATTATTAATTTGAATTATTTTATATTATTTATCTTTCATCTATATTTAATATCTATGTAATTGGGTTTTTAGTGTTTTTAGGTTTCATTAGAAAAAGGGATTTTGGTGTCTCTGACTATAGGTATAATTTATGCGGCCTCATTAATATTTTCCCGGTAAATTTTTTTTTGCCTATCCGCCTCTGAACTCACATAGCTGGTCATGACGCGCGCGGTCATTGGTTTGAATATGGTGCAAAAAAAAAAAAATACTACTTTATAATTTCTCCCTCGCCGAATCTACTCCTCCGAAAGTGACGTTCACATATGTGAAAATTCTCTTCTCAGAGAAAGGGATAGCAGAGTGCTAAGTATATTCTACCCTACCCAAGTGAAAAGATATTGATAAAAATTAGAAAGGTTTTTTTAATGAAAAATATGAAAAAAATCATCCATCGTCATCGCGCTTTGAACTGAAAGTATTGAGATATTTTATTAAAATAATCTGAAAATTAAACAATAAATATGAATATTATAACATGTTATAAATTCATAGACTTATAATATATGGTTCTTTTGCTAGAACTCTGTGATCATATGTAATTTGGTTTTCTATTTCAGCTATTTGTTGCATGTCATATACCAAAATGCAATCACATCACGTTCACGAATTTATAGAAATAATAAAATGTGCAATATTTTATCCAAATATAGATAATTACGAATTATTTAATCTACAAGAATAACACTTTTAATTAATAATAATTATTAAAAAAATGTATGATTGACGCGTTACAATGTTATAACTTATATTTATTTAAGATTATTCATTCGTATCTATATAGTTCAATTTATGTAATTGGCTTTCTCTATAATAGACCTAATAAACGTTGTTTTGAGATTTGAATTAAGTTATGAGGGATGAAGCTAGAAACTTTCGGTTTCAATTAAAATGTATAGGTACCTACGTAAAATTATAATAATAATTGTTTTATTGCACATGGCATAATTCTATTAGTAGATAAGTGAGTATGCATTTTATATAATATTACTTATAAATTATATATATATTATTAATTATTTAAGATGGCCAATGTATTAATTTTACAACGATGTGTATATTTTGCTTTATTTTTGTTGTGTTTGAAGACACTTTAAAGTAGAAAAAAATACATAGACTTTTACCTTTAAAGGTGGTTTCTGTTAGTAAATTGGAATTAATTTATACTTAAAAAGTCAAAAGTAAAAGAATTTTCAGTACTTTTCAAAATAATTGGAAATAATATTATAAAATATTAAATATTTTACTATCTACGTTGTAGACTACGCTTAGAATTGTAAATATTGTTAAAAACTCGAACAAATAAACTTGTTAACTATTATTTAATTTGAAAATTTTAAAATAAATTTATTATTTGAGAAAAAATTGGGGGGCATGATAAATCTCCGTTAGTAATACTAATTAAAAAGTTTTTCAAATATTCTCAGATAACACATGCATTTTCTCAGTGGTTAAATTTAGAAATATGCAAGTAAAACTACAAGTCAGTATAGAAAATATAAGTGAATATTTTACATTTAATTTTTATAAAACAATTTTCATATTTAAAAATCATGCCGGGTATAGAAGATTTAGAAAATAATAACTAGGGTCCGAAACTTGATGCATTTACATCTTTTTTTTTTATTGATCTTATTTAAGCCTGGTCATTAGTTGTGCAAAGAAACAGTAGGTTTTTGTGTAAGGTTTGTTTAGTAGGGTTGAAGCACGTGTGTGTATGTGTGTGTGCTATGAATTCATCACAAAGAACTCGGATGAACCCATTCGAGAGCTAGCGACGCCGGCCGATGCTAGAATCTCAGAACACATTTATTTAGTGACTAACCACCACGTTACACCAGGCCATCATCTTTTTTTCTAATGCATTTATAATTATAATATACGAAGCTTGTCTTTACAGAAATGTGACTGATGTTATGTAAAATTCAATGGTTTTTTTTTTATTTTGCAGTTTTTACATTTTTCTTTTATATTATTTTGATAAAACTTACATATAATACAGTTCAATCCTTCATTTTTTTTCTCTAAAAATGCCAATTTATTTTTTGTAATAATTTTGTATTACTGACATTATTTTTTATCTCTGTTTTAAGTTTAATTTAGGCCTTGTAGTTTGTTAAAAATACATATTTAATGTACATAAATATTAGCATTGTTTAAATTCAGACGAATAAAAAAATACCTAAATAAGTGAATGAAAAATATTAATTTAAAAATGATGATTTATTAAAAAAAATGTAAGTTTTGAAAATGTTGTGTTATTTGTTGGTATTTTTTAAATCATTTTTTAATATTTATAAATTATAAGTCATTTAAATATTTTTTTTGTGTGCATTTTTCAAAGATTTTTAGATCATCGAGTTCCGAACCCTAATAATAACTAATAAGTATGTAAAGCTAATACCAATTCCTTTGTTCATTGGAATAAAACTTTTTTATTTTATCGTTCTTTTGGCAAACCGCATCAGTTACCATTTACACATCGTCTTTGCAGATAACGGTTAGGTATAACTATAAAATATAATATGTAATCAATAAAAAACTAAATTCATTAATTTTTAAACTTAAACAAGCTTATAATTCGGAGTCTTGACTTATTATAGTTGTAAATAAAAATTTCCAAGTATTAGAATTAGGAAACAACCTCAAAATGTTGAAAAATAAATTTGATTAGTAATAGTTGTACAGTTGTATATGAGGTAAATGGTTGAATACTCAATATTTGTAAGTGACAAAATGTGATTGCATATTATATTTACTTAAATGCTACTAATTCATTTTATTATATGATTATATGTATTTTATAAAGAAATTAAATTAAAATCATTAAACTAATTTTATTAATTTATTTGTATAGTTTTATTTAATAACAAAACGTTTAATATATACCTATTTTACAAGTATAAATGTTGATACTTATTTCTTGTTAGCAAACTTGTGGTGTTGTAGGGAGTTCAATAATAGTCTGTGTAGTTGTATACCTAACGGTTATGTTATACTATTTATTTGTTGAATATTATGTATATACCTTTTATGTAAGAAAACTTTTGGTCGTTTAAATAAAGATGCCTTAGGGAAGTTCATAAAAAGAAAAAAAAAATACTCATTACTTATCGTCAATATCTAAACTACTAAATTCCGTTAAAAATGTTTCAATATCTTGTCATTTCAGTCTATAGTCTATACTTATTAGCTTACTTACCAAGTCCCACAAGAAATTTAAAAACAATTGTTGGAACTTCTATATTTTATTGAGTTAAGAACAATGGTTTATTAAACCATAGGGATTTCGTTTCGAAGTTAATGATATTAATTACAATAATATTGCTTCCCGGTGAGTATTGTTAGTATTATTTTTAGTTATAGATATATCATTTAATCTATTAGTAAGTATATCCAAATTCTCATTTCATCATATTTTTTTTTCACCATTCGACATTTTTGATTTTTCAGTTTTTATTCTACAAATGTCGATAAAAAATTTTTACTTGGTCAAGAACCTTAAGAATTTAGTAGTTTCCTCATAAATTATTATGATCAGTGCCCAGTGGTATAGCCAAGATTTTAAAATGGAGGAAGAGGGTTAGCCAAAAAATAAGGTAAACAAAAATACTTAGAACTACTCTCAAAAATACACAAATTATTCAATTTTTACGGTTAAGGTTTGTTAACTCGATAGAATTTATTCATGGTTCTTCATGAGAAGTTCTTAACCAAACATCTTAATTCAGCCCCTAAAATACCCAAATCTTCGTACTACAAATAGTTCCGAATTGGCAAAATCTAAATAAAAAATCAATGCTCTAAAAACTAGTACCAATGCTTATGGATTTTTTTTAATCAAAGACAAAAAATATAAATTAAGTAACATAAAATCAATATGTACTCGTATAAGTATATTATTTTATAACTGTGAACAACATTAGATTGTTATTAATTAATTAATATATTATTAACATATTGTACTACATATTATAACCTTTTATTTTATTTATGTAAATATATATATATTATTATTACGTAAAAGAAATATACGACTATACAAAATTTTACAACAAGTATTAATGATGTAGGTGGTTTACATATCATGAAAGAAAGAGGCGCGAAGGAGAGCTCCCAATGGAGCTACCTAGTACCTACATAAGGGAATTTTTTTTTTCTTAGCAAAAAATAGTTTTTTTTTTAATGGAGAAGGTTTCTGATCCATTTTTATTTGAGTCTTCGTCGAGGATTGTCGGGGATGTGAAGTGAAGTAAGGTGTCTTATAAATAAATCTATGATTTTAAAATAGTACTTACTATAAAAATGTAATATTTTACAAAAATAAATATTGTTCAAAACACAATTTTAAATTTTGTACCGAACACTTCACTTTTTGTAGCACAGTGTAGTACAAACACAATTTTAGGGGCTGACTTAAATAAATATATAAGTACAATTTTTTTATAGACATTTAAATGAAGTATAGGTATAACAAACTTAGTTATAGTTGCCGCCGAAGCCGATCTTACGAATAGTGCGGTTATTTTAAGTACTTTTTTTTTTTTTTTATCTTGTTGAAACTAATTGTATATACAAAGTTTAAATAAAAAAAAAAAAAGTACTTTTATAATTTCAATTATATTACAAATTATAGGCTATCAAACAACATATATTATAATAATATAGAAATAACAATCAGGCGCCCTAGAATATACAGTGGATATATATTTATTATTATACATATATATATAATAAATATATGTATAATAATAATAATTAATAGTAGTTTTAAGAAAAAAGGCCGCAACACAACGGAATCACAAATATATGTATATAAAAATAATTGGCAACAGCAAACAGGATCCACCGGAATAATGTTCAATTCACACCTCGTGAATCACACGAGGTTTGAGTAAAATTACAAGGTGAAAAATTGGTGAGCGAACGCAACGATGCATCCGATTCGATTCGAAAGACAAAATTATTAGGCGGCTGATCGCTTGACCACCGGACGGCGAGCTTGTATATTTGTCGCGTTCGTGGGGTCCCGCGCAAGCTCAATGGCGGCAAAAGGTGTTCTGCGTTCAAACATCTTCCCCGCCTGAGAATCATTTCACGTTGAAATTGACTTGAGAACCGGAACAATATCCTTGACATCAGATGGAGTTCGAAGCTGGGCCGGCTATTGCGTGACTTATGTCTCTACCCATGTAGTGTCAGTAGCTTACATTATTTTTTTTTTAAGAGTTCCGTTAAATAATGGCGAATATAATCCGAGAAAAAATAAAAAATTTTATATAATATAAAAAACAGTGAACTCATGATTCGTATAATAGCTAATTAATTGTATAAAATACAAATACAAATCTCAATATTTAAGACATATGATAACACACATCAAGTATAAACCGTATAAATGCAGTAAGTGCGAACGTGTTTTCAAGCACATGGGAACTTTAGAAATTCATATCCGAGAAAAGCATGGTGACAAAGAACGTCGTTATGCATGTAATGCATGCGACAAATCCTACCTATCTTCGAAAAACCTAAAATATCACTTAAACACCCATGCAGGAGAAAAAAAAACCACGCTCTGCTACCAAATGTTGCCGTCGAAGCCGATCCTACGAATAGTGTGGTTATCGGCAACGACTCGCGACTTGTGATGTGGACGGACGCGGGAGGGGGGTTATTTTAAGTAGTTTTACAATTTTAACTATATTACAAATTATAGGCTACCAAACATATATTATAATAATATAGAAATAACAATGCGGGCGCCCTAGAATATACTAATAATACTTATAATGTATAATAATAATAATAATAATTAATTGTAGTTTTAAGAAAAAGGCCGCAACACAACGGAATCACAAATATATGTATATAAAAATAATTGGTGGCTACTGTACACAGAGGTATAAAATAATAAGATTATAATATGACCTGGTGGCAACAGCAAACAGGATCCACCGGAACAATGTTCAATTCACACATCGTGAACCACACGAGGTTTGAGTAAAATTGCAAGGTGAAGAATTGGTGAGCGAACGCAACGATGCATTTGACTCGACCGTTGGAAAAAGACAAAATTATTTATTAGGTGGCTGATCGCTTGACCACCGGACGGCGAACTCCGTCGGATGGCGGAGGGGGAGCTTGCTGGGAGTTTATATATTTATCGCGTTCGCGGGGTCCCGCGCAAGCTCAATGGCGGCAAAAGGTGTACCGCGTTCAAACAGTTATTATGAAACATTATTCACGAATTCGTGGGTATTTGGGATTCTTAAAATAATAAGTTTTTTTTTTACAAAAAATATAACAAAAACTTATTTAACTTACCGCGCCTATTTTTTAAAGTACAATAAATTAATTGGGCTAACAAACCGTTTTTTGTTTGCAATGCTTTATCAATGAATTCCTATTTTACATTATTTATAACAAATATATATTCATACGATTACACTACTTATACCACAGAATAAAATTATTAATTATTCTGTGCTTATACTGTAACATGTAGTTTATTACAGTTATCAGTGATTTGATTTTATAAATAGTATATACATTCGCAGTGTTTAGGGTTCATACTGTTCATAGTCTTAAGTCTTTCACCGATCGTTTTCGAAATGTCGTTATTGTTTACAAACGTATAAATATTAAATAACTAATAAGGTTGATAACGCATAATAAAATTTTAAAATTTTTGACAAGATATTTAAAAATTACTGCAACTGTTCGACGGCACAACATGGTAGTGAAAACGATGAAGTATTTTACGCGGAACGGTCGAGTGCGATAATACCACACATTACGCCAAATTGCTTAATAAAAATATGTTATCCATTAAACGTCGTGCGGCAAATAAATTGCAACAATATTTTAAAACAAAAACAATAAGAATAGGCCATAGGGTACGTTTGAATTGTTTAAAATGCTAACGAGTAACGACATGTACGTCAACAAACAGTTGTGGACCGTGGTTACGCTAACGCCTTACACTACACTGAGTACAGTACACTGCGGTAATGCGGTCTGCGACTGCGACGACATCGGAGCCGGCTGGTTGCGATAACGTTGGTCAACCTGACGAGTAACCACTTTTAACCATGTCCGGAATCGTCAACACCACTACGGCCATCTTCGGCAAAACGCGACTGCGCGCCACTAGCGTCGTATACTCGTATGCCGTACCCGTACCCGTACCCGCCGCCGCTGGCGTACAAACGGAAACATCGAAAACCCCTTACTGGCTGTACTGCCTAGTGCCTATACTCCGTTGAACCGTAGCTTCAGTAATAGCGAGCGAGCGTGCGCTTATTCTTACGTGTGTGTACAGGTATCCTACAAACGAGGAATACTTACGGTATACCCAACGCGCTCCAGACGATTGTACGATTTTATAATTATTTTTTCCAGCTCCGACGTGTGCTGTAAGTGCGCTAAACACGGTAAAAACGGCTCTTAAGTGATTAGAGAATTTCGTTTCGATTCACCGTTGTCTTGTTCTTTGTCGAGCGCGCGAAAAATCATTGGCACTGCGTTGTGTAACGGTTTTCGGGCGCGCTCATTGATAATTTTACCTTAGGGTCAAAGTTTACGTCTTTTTTTGTCAGGCGATAGAGCGACGGACGCCGCCGCTTTTGCGGCGGATGACGACGACGACGACTGTGAACAGTCCTTCCGGTTCGTCGCCGCTGCCTAGCGTTACGTTTCGAACGACTAACGAATGTGCCGGCGTCATATTTCGCGCGTGCGTGCGTGCAAGCGACAATAATAATAATTATAATATTTAATATTATGTGCAATAAAGCCGCTGCGACTTCAACTACGCGGACGGTCGGCGGTGTTTTAGCAGACCAGACCGATTATAGTTATTGCGCAGTTGCGGTACTCATCGTCGAATAATAGGTGAGTGTTGTCGTTCATACGTCTTAATTTGTCATCATCGCTGGTATTTTTTTCACTATACTCCGTTCCCCCGCTTCGTAATGAGGTACGTTCTTAGCTTACCTTTGGATAGCAATGACCATTGGCCGTGTGTCGTGTGTGGCATGTGCTTATACTCGCGTATTTAACTGTTTAATAATAATAATATTAATAATGTTCATGTACAATGTGCATTATATGGGTCAAATATTTGGAGGGAGCGGTCTTCGTCTGTCGTTTTGGCGGGGTGAAGGGGTGTTTTGTTTTGTTCCCCCTCCCCGCACCCACCACATCCTCAATCCTTGCCAAAATGGCCGCAACCATATCTTCTGACTTGACAGACTGCCGCCTGTGTCACTAGCTATTCGCTGGTTTCACTCATCGCTTTGGATTTTCAATTTCGTTTTTGTCTCATTTTTCTTTGATAATAAATAGAATACTATAGTTGTTTTGGTTTTTAAATTATTTCGTGTGATTGACAAAAAAATATATATAATATTCTCCCGCGTCGATATTCCCTGGTTACCACCTCCTTTCTCTTAACAACGAATGCGATTATCACATCGCGACCGTGATAGCAGCGTACGATTCTGTATATTTAGTAGTAATAATAATAATAATAATAATAATACGATTTCTTTGTGATACGCCGTTGTAGTATCGGTCTTTCTCTTTTCGTCTGTCTCATACATTGTACACACGACAATACATGTATAATTATATAAAAATATACCTCAAATTCAGTCTTATTTTACCCATTTTTTCTGGTTAATCTTAGATCATCTCGTCAGCCGATTTCGTAATGAACATTTGCCTGTCATCGTCAAAACGTTTTACTTGTGAGTTAAATTTTTATTTTCTACATTTATCAACATTTTTTATGTTATTCTCGCACTAAAAACTCTTTAAGAACTGATATTGGTAGGTATTATAATGATTAACATCTTGAAATATGACAATGTTTTCATAAGTATTGTTTCATAAATACTACATATGTATCCTTAAGCTATTACCAGACAGCAATAGTTTATTACCTACCATCGCATAATATCAATACGATAGTAGGAAGATAATATTAAGTTTTTTCAATGTTATGTTGTGCTGATTATTTTGTTGTTAAATGTCTTGAATCATTTTAATGTTGTCTTGAATAAGTATTTTTCAATCCTTGCTTGTGGCACTTGTTTGTTATGCCACAATTTATTAAATAATTATATTAGGTTCTTATCACGTAATATTATTCCTTAGTTATTTCCTTTTATTTGCTGATTAATTTAGTGATTTATAAGTACTTATCTATTGTTGGTTGTTCATTTTTAATTGTAATTTATACTTTCAATTTTATTCAAATGAAACCTACCTATATTTTAACATTCATTAACCATAAAGGTTATACTTATACATAATCTCAAAAGATTAAAGACAAACAAATAGATATTTTAATTTAGGTATAATTTATAAAATTGTCATTGTAAAAATTTAGATAAATTAAATCTTAAATTGCACATTTTTATGTTGTTATTATTTCATTTTTTTCATTTAGGTACTAAATCATAATTTGTTACTAAAATTATTAGAAAACTATTTTGATTTAATTTTATTATTATATAAGAATTTTTCTAAATTTGTTAAGTAAACTGATTCAACACAGAATGTAACTATGTTTTAAGTTGCTAATAAATACTTAGTAACTTATTAATAAGTTTTTAATTATTGATATGATTTTTAAATGTTTAATAATTGTTTCTATTTTTTAGGAAAAATGAAGGAAAAGGAGAACACTAGTGTAAGTTTCTCCCAATGGCAAACGTGGGTTTTGGATGCAGTAAATAAAATCCGTGGCCAAAAGCAGCGGCCATCTTTGGAACGTATTGTAAATGCAATACGTCAGCATCACCGTTACCCTGTAGGGGATATTGAAACACAAATTGAACGATGTGTAGAAAGTGGTGCAGTGTTAAAAGTCTTCAACAAAGGCCAAAATACTTACATGAACCCGGGTGGCACTGCAAATCGTAAATTGGTTATTAATGCAGACACTGATTTAACTAAAATTTTAGTAAAAGTAGTTGGCCAATTAGATGAAGAAGGTTCATCATATAAAAACATAGATCGTTACATTCAACATGCCTATTCTATAGAACTTAAACATGACGGATGTGACTTAACTTCATTACTTAAGTCAACATTAACCAAAGCAGTTGATAAGGGCTTATTGGTGTTGGATGGAAAATTATATAGGTTACCTGTTAGTCCAGATTCCACAACATCATTGATTGGAACTCCAGTCTTAAAATATAGTTCTGGAAGGAAAGCACGATTACTTAAAGTAGATTCAAATGAAATTGAAACAACCCCTCTTTCACTTCGTAGAGCTGGAAGAAAAAGGAAAAAAGTATCTATTTGTGATACTAGTTCACTTACAGATAATGAGGCCAGTGACAAAGAATTAAATAAAGTATTAAAAGTCTAATATTATTTCTTTCAATATTTACTAATGTATTGTAATCTTAACAGGCTTCCGCGAATATCTGTGCTGAATGTTTAGGTACATCAGCCAAAAACCAATGTGGTGTAGCAGAATCGTTAAAACAATGCCGAGGTGGTTGTGGTGTTTCATTGCACCCTTCTTGCTTAGCTCTTAAATGTAGTGGCCCTTTGACTGCTTTGTTAGCTCGTGGTTCTCGATGGTTTTGTCAGGACTGTAGAACATGCTCAGCAATACCGCCGTGTTCTGTGACTGAACATGTAAGTACAATTCAATTGAAATTAAAAATCGTAGGCTGATAATAACTTTGTTTTATGTATAGATGTTTTTATTAAACTGTGATACGTGCGATCGAGGTTATCATATGCAATGTCTACAACCTCCAGTTGCAGATAAACCAAAATCAGCATGGCGATGTACATTTTGCTTAGATCATCACGAAACCTCCATTTTTATGGTAACAGAACCATATGAAGAACGGAGGGGTAGGAAAAAGTCTAGTCTCAAGAATAAAAAGTATGTTAAATTATATATTGATACTTATACTCTGTCAGTTATTTCTAATTTGATTGTTTTTAAAAAAAATATGGATTTAATTTTTGTGGTATGCTGTTTTTTAAAAATTATTATTTATCATGCTATCATACTATTAATGTTTATATTATTTTTTATACAATTAAACTTATGTAATTTAATAAAAATATTGTTTAAACCAACCATGATGTTAGTTAACATTGTGTATAATTCAATGCATTAACTTGAATACTAGTAGATAAAATTTGGATGATTTACATTTATAATATTAGAACATTTTTGTATATTAAACTTAACTATAAATCATTCTGTTTCAACTCAAGTTATTTTATAAATTATTTTAATAATTAAAAAAAAAGAATTTAAGAAATTGTAGTAAATGTTGAGTGTACACTTCCATTTAAGTGTACCTTAAATATTATGTGCAATGAAAAACAAGTGTTTATACAATTAAAATGTAAATAATTTTTTTAATGTTTTTTAATTGTTGTATAAAAGACTCAAGCTATTTTACTTGTGAGTAAAAATTGTATCATACATACGTCTAATAAAAACTAAAAAATTGAAAATTTAAGATGTCTATAATTACCTAAAAAAATTTAAATACTTATATTAATTTATCGTATTTAAAAAATCCTGATATTAGTATTTGGTGAAAATATCAAATGTTAATAGATCTTTCATAATTACTTCAATCAGAATTTGTTTAATTATACCCTTTTTTTTTTAATATTGAAAATTTCCTTCTAGTATATACTAGACAAAATACCAAATTCCTTCAAAGTTAAACATAAATCATTTTATTGACTATAAAAATTTTCTTTTGATACATACAAGAGAAAAACCGAATTTTTGTAAATCAATCAATAAATTAATTGCTCCGCTCACTGCTTAAAATCTTAATTAGCTTTAATATTTATCATAATATTATAATAACGTGTAATTTTTAAAATCTTGTAAAAACTTACAAATAATATATTATAAAATCCTTTGAAAACATTTAAACTAAAAATAATATTAAAACAATGGTTTAATTAATAAAATCTAGTAGTTTTTGCTTTTTTTAAAATTATTGATGTTAAACTTTTAGATCAAGTCGTCGAAGTCAACATATAAAGGCTCAAGATCTTAAACTTGGAACACCATCCACTTCCAGTTCGATGAATCAACGTGATGTCACGGAAGACGGTAATGTCTCCTCTCCTGACTCCTCGGCTCCCCCCTCTCCCGTTCCGATTACTGGCAGTGTGCGGCGGGACACTGCTATCTCCAAGGAGAAAGCAAAATTCTTTAGGCAAAGTGCTGCGTTTAATGCGCGAGGTGTGAACGGGAGAGGATCTGGTGTGCCGAAAGTCAATACCCCCCTAAACATGCGCCTTAGCTCTAGCAGTAGCGATAGCTCTAGCAGCTCGAGTTCAAGCTCGAGCAGTCATAGTCGCAGCAGCAGTTCAAGTAGCACGAGCAGTAGCTCTAGCGATAGTAGTAACAGCTCTAGCAGCAGTAGTAGCAGCAGTGCGCATGCTTGTTCTCTTTCTGTGCGTCCAAGTCGGCCCATATTTCCTCTCCCGAAATGTCTCGCCGCAAGGAATGCCGATTTTAACAAAAGTCCTTCAAATATGTCCTCTAAGAGTTGTTCAACAACTGTATCTGTTCAATCCTCTAAAAAAAATGGTCATCGTTTAAAAATAAATGATAAGTCAAATAATCCTAGTGAAATAAAAAAAATTGATAAAATAAATGATCAATCTAAAGTAACCCCTAAAGTATTACTAAGAGCACCAAAATTAATTGCTAAAGTTAATTGTTCACAACCTAAAATTTTTCCACTTTCAAATTCCAAATCAGATAATTCAGATTCACCCATTTCTTTATTTAAACAGTTATTGACAGATAATTCAGACAAACCATGGGGGTTTGCTGCTTTGGCTGCCAAAGCTCCTATTATTGAACATACAAAACCTGAAGTCTGTAATAAAAAAGATAAACCTATTGCTGGGTTTATTCAATTGAAGGGTTTATTTGATGGGTTAAGTCATTTCTATTCAACACCATTACAATCTCGTACTCGACCTAGAAATGAAAAAGATGTGAAATCATCTAGTAAAACTGATTCAAAATCCACTTGTGCTGATAAAAAGTTTAAAATACCAGACAAACAACAATCTCCTAGTTTTTTGGTTAAATCAGCTGTATCATCTAAATTGATGGAAACTAGAGAAGTAGCAGAAATTGGGGGTAATAAAATGCAAAATAATGATAAATCCTTAGACAATTCTCCTTCCGCCTTCCGTGACCATCTGTCCGTGCCGACGATACGTCCAGTCACCCGTTCCGGTAAGCAAGTTCCTTACAAAATCAATCCTGCTAGTATTCGCCAGCTGCATAAAATACTACCATATTTCATAAGGGCTTTTATAAATTTTAATCCATTGCATGCTATAGGTTTTTATTTCTGTTCTTTGAGTCAATCAAGCGAACATAATATGTAGACGCCAAATAATATATTATACCACATATTGCATATTTGTTAAGAGCATATCAGATAGTTTTAGATAAATTAACTATTTATAATATAATTTATTTAATTTTAATTTTAATTTTCATAATAATTAATACAATGATTTAGAAATAAAAAAAAATATTCTATTTTATACTTTAAACATTTTTTTTGATAATTATTTAAATTACCTGTTATATAAGTTAAACATTTTTATCCTATTTTTTTTTTTTACTTAATTAAGTAAAATCCATTTAAGAAGATGAGTTTAAATAAAAAATTCATCAATGCATTTAAAAATGAGTATATTAATGAGTTATACTATATTTTTAAACAGCTGATATATGTTCTGCTACGCTCTATAATAGTTAATAGTAGTTTAATGCTGCACTCATTTTTTTTAGCTTACTAACCAGTCTTGGTAACAAATATTAAATGCTATTTTCAGTTCTGGAAAACATGAGCCGCCTTGTTGCATCAGACTTACCACCTGGTGTTTTACATGAAGATGTTGAAATTTATAAAGAGACAAGAACAAGGGCAATGAATGTGAGTTGAATGGAAGTTAAAATAGATTATTTTATTTTAATCTATGTTTTATATTTTTAATTGATAATTTGCTGTTTAGAGTACAATACAAGCTCCAGAGTTTATTACATCTAATCATCCAGTAAGATGTCCTGCTGCAATTCAATTTGGTAAATACGAAGTAGAGACATGGTTTTCATCTCCTTTTCCTCAAGAGTATGCTAGACTTCCAAAATTATTTCTTTGTGAGTTTTGTTTAAAATATACTAAGAGCAAATCAGTCTTGGAAAGACATATGCATAACTGTAACTGGAGACACCCGCCAGCTACTGAAATCTATCGGCGTGGAAATCTCAGTGTTTTTGAAGTAATTTACTTGTTTATTAATTAATTCATAAAATGCAGATTATTATTAAATGATTATATATACAGGTTGATGGAAATGCCAACAAAATTTATTGCCAAACATTATGTCTATTAGCAAAATTATTTTTGGATCATAAGACTCTATATTATGATGTTGAACCTTTCCTATTTTACGTTCTGACTAAAAATGACAGTTTTGTAAGTGTATTTATTTTAACTACATTTTACATTGAATTTTTTTATAGTTGTCTATGATTCTAATGTTTTAATCAATTTTCAGGGCTGTCATTTAGTGGGTTACTTTTCAAAAGAAAAACATTGTCAACAAAAATACAATGTATCTTGTATCTTGACCATGCCTCAGTATCAAAGACAAGGATTTGGACGATTTCTTATTGAATTTAGTAAGTAAACTATATGCATCTAGTTGTTTTACAAATATAACGTTTAATTTATCTTTTTAGGTTATCTCTTATCCAAAATTGAAGGGCAACCAGGAACTCCAGAAAAACCTCTTTCTGATTTAGGTCAAGTGTCATATCATGCATATTGGAAAGCTGTTATACTAGAGTATTTAGATAAACACAGAGATAATGATTCTATTTGTATTAATGACATTAGCAGAAAAACTGGTAATATAAAAACATTTCATTTAAAATTTTTTAATTTTAAATTTTGAGATATTTACAATGATTATAAATTTAATTCAGGTTTAATGAGACATGATATTACTTATACGTTACAATCTCTCAACATGGTTGTAGAAATTTGTGATAAATTGACAATTTGTGTTGACTGGGACATGGTTGATGCTCATTTAAAGATAAAAAAATCATCTAAACAAATTCCTATTGAACCAGAATGTTTAAGATGGACACCTTTAATGCCAGCATCCAATTTATTAGTTTCTCCAGACGAAAAAGTTAGTTTTTCATATTAAAAAAAAAAAACAAAAAATGTATTGTAAATAATAATTTTTAATCAATACTATTTGTTCTAGGATAACCAAGATCTTGAAGAACCTCTTCCAATTAAAATAGAAATAATTAAAAGTCCAATCAAAAAGAAACGTATTGCTAGAAGAATGCCAATGATAAAGAAACGTAGGAAGATGGATAAGAAGAAGCGTAGGTGTTTATATAGTGCTGAGAAGATACCCAATTCTACTCAACCTGTTGATGAAAACATAAGTTTAGTAGAAAAAGAGCCACCTCCAAAAAAAAATAAAAACGAACGTATAGTCAATTCGAAAATAGAAGAAAAAGTTGTTGAAGACCATTCAACTGATGAAAAGTCCGAGTCAAAATTGAAATCTGCTGAAAAATCTACCAAAAACAAAATTATTGAAGAGAGCATTGAAGATATCAAAGTAGAAATATCAAATCCTAAATCCCAAACAAAAACTAAACAAAGGTAATAAAATATTCATGATATGTTTATTTTTATAGTGCTTTTTAATTTATATTATATTTATATAAATTTGTTTTAGCTTAATCTCAAATTTCCTCAAACGCGAAAATCCAGGTACTAAAGTTAATGTTGTTCCTCAAAAGAAAAATAGAAAATTGTCTCGAGGTAGATCACGTAAAAGACAAAGATCCAAAACTCAAAAAGACAATAGTGAACCTAAAGTTAAAAAGGCTCGAAAGATTGAATCAGAGTCATTTGAAATTGATGAAACTATTGATAAAGATATTGAACTACAGTCTGTGAGTAGATATTGCAGTGCAAGTATTTTTTTATTTACATTTTTTATTAATGCAAATCAAATTTAATTGTTTATTTTTATTATTATTATCAGGTGAAAAATGAGAACACTGACAAACTAGATGATGTCAAAAGGCTAAACAGTAAAGATGTTGAGGAAATTGAAGTAGAAAATAAAATATCTAAAATATCTGATGATGAAGAACATAAAGAAATGTCTAAAACATCTGATAATGAAGGAGAAAAAGAAATATCTAAAACATCTGACGATGAAGGAGAAAAAGAAATATCCAAAACATCTGATGATGAAGGAGAAAAAGAAACATCTAAAACATCTGATGATGAAAGAGAAAAAGAAATATCCAAAACATCTGATGATGAAGGAGAAAAAGAAATATCAAAAAAAATCTGACAATGAAGGCGAAAAAGAAAACCTTCATGGAAATGACGATAGGAGTCCAGATAACCTAACCGAAGAGAAAGAAGATAAAAATATAAATTTGGAAGAAGAAAAAGTTGTAGAAGATAAGATAGACAAAATTGATACAGATGTATTGATAGGAAAGTCAACAAATTCTATTGATGAATGTTCAAAGAAGAATACAGATTTAAAAGCTGACAAGATTATCGTTGAAAATATAATTTGTTCTAGAACTAATGGTGATAATATTATTAATTCCAAGGAGGAAGAATTTAAGCAAATTACAAATCAATTAGATAGTAAAGTCAATACAGTCAATACTGTAGAAGTAATTAGTGACAATGACGATCTTAAACATCCAAATGATAGAGAGTCTTTTAATGTAGTTGATATGTGTAATGATGTTCCTAAAAGTAAACCATCAGAATCTGAAATAGAATCTTCTGACAATGCTGTAGAATTTACATGCGACTTGGAGAAGTCTGAAAAATCTAATGTGGATGATGTATTACAAAAACCTAAAGTACAGCCTTGCAATAATACTCCATCTCTGGATTCAAAGCAAAATGAAAATGTGCCAAATAATTATGAAGAGACGAATCTTATTCAAACTGAAACAAAGCAATATAATGATCAAGTAGTTTTATCAAGTAAATTTAAAGGAGATTCTGTCGAGACTGATGTACGAATATTTAATAATCCAGTACCATGTAATAATTTTTCCAAAACAGATATTACTGTACAGCCTCCAATGTCTTCTGTCACTGATAAACAGTACAGTAATTGTTCAATGATTACAAATGATTATTGTAAGCCATCATCAGATTCATCACTGTTGTCAAATGTTAAACAGTACAGTGGTGAATCATTGCCAAATGAATACAGTAAAACAGGCACTGTAGTACTTCCAAATTCTAAACAATATGGTGAGACTCTAATGAACGAATATAGAAAATTGGATATTCTTCAGCCAGAAATAAACAAGCAAATGTACAATAAAGAAGATTCTGTTGAATATATGAAAAATTCTCAAGTACTTTCAGCACCTATTAACAGTTCACCAGAAGTGTTCAAGGTTGTGGAGCAATTAAAGTCTAAGGCTCTTGAAAAAAATTATTCTCATTCAATTGTGGCTGATCATTCAATAACTGTGCCTAAATACGACAATGTCAAACAGGAGAAGCAATCTAAAAGAACTACTCCCTCACCAAAAACTGTGCCATATCGATTGCCTGCTGAAGTGCCACAAGTAGATAAATCTCGATTACATGATTACTTGCCTCCTATGGGGTTTCTCAATTATCAAAAGATTAATAATTCTATAGCTATGGCCCATCCAGACATCCCTAAAACAACCAAAGATATGTATTCAGAAAAAAAACCTGATGCTGTCAACATAAACTTGCCTAAAGACAAAGAAGTAATGAATTTGCCCAAGACTATGGACAACAGTCTCTTGTATTCGTCTGTTATGCAACAATCGCCATACACTGACCAGTCTATGATGCACTTATCACTCCATCACCATTTGGCTCATTCATCTCAATACCATCATAGTCCACCTGTACCGGCTCAGGTGCCACCTCCAGTTCATCAGACTAAATCTCGAAATAAAAAAAGCGAACAAAGAAGATTAGCTCAACAAAATCAAACACCTGTTGCACTATCTACTCAACAATCAGCCCCATCACCAATACCTAGCCACACACAATCATATCACCATCACCACCAAACAGCTACCTACATGATGCCACAACCATCTCCCTCTAGTCCCTATCATCATTCAGTGATCCAACACCGAATGGGCCAACAAGGAGGTTCATGTTCATCTGCTGACTTTTACTTGTCACACCCTAACCAACATGCAGCTGCTGCAGCTGCACAGATCGCATCATGCAACCTTACCAAACTTCAACAAATGACAAATGGATTGGACCACCACCGTAGGCATATTTCTTCGCCTGCATCATCACCAGCCTCTTCTCCTGCCAACATGACTCCACCACCACCCGCTGCGTCGGCAGCTGCTGCACATTTGCTGCAGCAGTCTGCAGTTGCTTATCATAAATTGTACCAACAGGCAGGTCAGACTAATCAGTCAAGGCAATATGGTCATCAAACGCGCGGTTCTCCGGCGTCACCAAATGTTGGTCTTATGACAATGCAGTATGGTGCGCCGCCGCCTCCTTTTAACGGTTACAGGGTAGCATCACAATCCACTCCACCACCATCTGCCAGTTATATGAACCAGACAACTGGACAATTACAGTACACGACGCATACACAAGATCCACATCATCAGAATAGTGTGTATCCGACTTCAGCATACAATGGCTCGTATTTACAACCTCTAAACGGGTCTATGCACAGATAATCTCTTGTTATTATTATTTTTATTATTAACTTTTTTTTATATTAATTATTATGGTTAAAATTTTATTATTTACCATCATAACATGATATACTTTTATGTAAACATATGATAAAGAAGAAAAAAATGTTACCAGATTTGTTATATTAAGATAAAAACTTTAATATACAATATCTATGAAAAATCTATTTTATACCAAAAAAAAAGTGCATTTGCAACAGGTAAAATCTTATTTTTAAGTTATGTTAGTTCACAAGCAGTATTTTTTTAGTTGTGTATGCTATGCATTATTTTTATTTTTTTACTTATCACAACAACTTGTATTTATTTAATTATTATTTTTTTTTTCTGTTGATTGTTGAGATCAATTTTTAACTGTTATGATTCAAAAAGTATGTTAAAGGAACGGGTACGTCAAGTTTTTATTGTACAAAGTTCAAAGAATTTCCTTAGTATGTAAGTATATTTTAAAACACTTGAAAGTCTAGTTTCAGCTTGTTATTTATTTTTTTCTACTGTAATTGTATAAAAATATACATAACTAATTTATTAAAAATTAATTTTCATTTATTGTTAATCTCAGTCTGTGTTTCTGTTTTTTTTTTTTTAATGGTCTAAGACAAGTTAGGCATTAAAGTTTTTGAGAAATGCATCCATTAAGCGTTATTATAGTGTGTAACATTGCTGAAGAATAAATTATTAGCAGGTGTTTTATACTATATAAGTAAGTTGTACTCTGACATGGATGGAAGATGAGTCAGACTTAGACATTAAAAAAAATATAATTTATTGTAAGACTAAAATACATAAAATGTGATATTCATTTAAAGTTTTTTATAGATATTATTCATAAAATGGTTAACAGCAGTGTTTCACTTGAAAAAAAAAATAGAGTTATTCAAAATAATGCAACTCTATTTAATATATACGAGTACCAAATACAATTGTTGAAGAATCTCCTCTCCACATACACGCACTCCTTGTTATATCTTCAGATATATTTCTACAAGCTAACAAATATTTCATAGATGATTTTACTTAAAAAATTTCATCCATAAGCGTCTAAGATGTATGGGACTTTGACAGTTAATTCCGGTATTACTGGTATTGATTTCTTTAAAATATATTTTTAAGTATTTTAACAAATTTAGATATTAATAATTTCAATAAATATGTTATACTCGTATGTCTAGAATTTATGTATACATTAGTTTCTTTAAAGTCTAAAATCAATCAAATTATAATTCTATAAGTATTAAGAATCATGAATGATTTGACTGACACCACATTTAATACTTGTCTGTCTATATAATTATCAAAAATAACGTTATTAACAAATATATTTTTATTAATCTTCATTTAATAAACTATAATAACTAATCAAACTATATTTTAGAATATTTTTTATTTATCAGATGGTCTTTTAGTTTTTAAGACAAATATTATTAAAAAATACAATTTAATAAGTGGTCTCTCGTCTTTTATTGTTTGGTATGAGATTGCCCCCTTCGCCACCACCTAAATCCGCCCATGCATACATATATAATTTGTGTATACTTTTATACACAAATTTTGTACCTTTACAAAAAAATTACATTGGTAAAAAAACCTTATTAATGTATCGTTCCAACATGAAAAAAGTAGGGTTTATTCTAAAATTTAAAACACATATAAATATAAACATTTAATTTACATTTTACTCTATTTAAAGAAGTTTATATAACAATCGATAAATAAATGGATGAACGAACAAAATCTTTAATAAATCGTACAAATTTATAAGCGATTTAAACTTAAGTGTTTACCTATACATATTTCCCGTGATGTGTGTCATGTGAACTGTAGCGTACAGTCTCAGGGGGAGGAGATTGTTTTGATGGGTCTGTGTGTGAGGAGGGGGGAGAGCGAGAAATGAAAAATCGACAACCGCACCGTATGGGCTTGTGGTCGCGTCATTCGAACGTGTCGTTCGTGAAAGCCAATATCCTAACTGGACCGCCGGTTCCGCCGAAGATCTTGATCGGTTGCACGATCAGCTTGAACCCCCTCGCCGGCAGCGTCGTACCGTTCAATGCCACGTTTTCCAGGTTGTACAAATTGGCTTTGGACAGTATTCCGTGCACATCGAACGACATCGACCGGCCGGGGTCCACGCTTGGCCCGTCTACCCCGACGCCGTACACTTTTCCGGAATCGACGATCCACTGGGCCGCGTTCCCGGACAGACCAGGAAACCTGTGAACAATAAACGCTTGTGAAAACAATTCGCCCACGGAAAAAGTCGTTTTATTCGAACTAGGTTTCGTCTTGGACGTTAGAGTTGTGCAAGAGCTAAAATTTTATCTAGACAATTATTTGATTAAAAATCAAACATAATAATATACTAATATAAAATATGAATTATAGAATGATTTTAATTCCTCTATTAAGTAGTAAGTCTACATACGTATGCAGTATGTACAAATATACAATGTACCTCAATAGTATTGTAGTAATTACATGTATAAATGTCGAAAACGTTATTATTGTGGCATCATGCCTAGTACAGAGTTGTGCAAAATTTTATCTAGAAAATTATTCGAATAGTTGTGAAAAAATTATCTGAATAATAATTTATTCGGATAAAATGTTATCTAAATAAAATTTCGTTGGAATAACGCCCTACTCTGCTGGACACGCTTAGTGTGCATTCTCTTAGTAGGGTATACTGTGCGTTTGTGCACGCTTGTTTCAAAGTTTTATGAGAACTTTGTGTTGTTTCCTTCGAAAATAAATAATTTTACTAAAGAAAATAATATTCGTATGACGCGCGCTTGATAAAAACGGAATGTGTAATATTGATTTTAAAAATGAAATACTGCTTAAAGCCGCTGTAACGTTTCGAAATGTTCGTACAACAACCCGCTGCCCGTTGGAATAAAAGCTCCGATGTTACGTCGGTCGCGGTGCAGTCGGTCACTGCAGCTGTAATGGTTAGCTCCAAAACCTTATAGGCAATAGGCGTATTATATGATTTATGCGATACAATACCTAATATATTTAACGTAATGGAGTGCAGGTTTTGCTGACGAGTGTTGGGCGCGTGTAGGGTGGAAAAATAAGAGCAGCGATACAAGTTTTAAAAAATAGCGGGTATTCAGAGTTAGGCAAAATTTTATTTGGATAATGATTATTTGAATGATTTTCAACTATGATGATTATTCGACTAAATTTCAAAAACAGTTATACGAATAATTGTTGGTTATTTTATTTGATAAACATAGTTTATAATCATTTTTTTAGATGTAGCTATTGTCGTATATAATATATCATACTGTAACAATACTATAAGTATGTTACATGACACCTAATATTAAATATAAAATTTATATTACGGTCAACTGCTGATCAATACAATAATATTAACATTTAACACACACGCATAATTGTAAGTCCTATCGTCAACGTATATCATGTATTAGATAGGTACCTAGTCAGTTCGATAGACACGACAAACATGGCGAACTCGCCGACACCAATTACACATAATATTAAAAGTCATTTTCTATATCACTAAAGTATTTTTTAATGCTAAAGTAAATTTAATATAAACGAAAATTATTCAAATTTCTATGTTTGAAATTTAGTCGAATAATTTTTTATTCGAATAATTGTAAAAAAAATCATTCGAATAATAATTTATCCGAATAAAATGTTATCTAATCATCTAGATAAAATTTCATTCAAATAACGCCCAACTCTGCTGGTATTCATGTCAAAGGTAAGTTTTTTCGAAAAGAAATATTTTATTGTTATTGTCTAAATATACTGTGTAATGTTTTAGTTGCGCCAGACACGTGTTGGTACTGTTGGTAGTTACCTACGTTTTCAGTGGTAAAATTTAAAAATTTGTTATTTCTTCGAAACCATTTAGATACCTAAATAGCTGGTAGGAAAAGATAAATATATACCTGTAAGGCTCATGTAATCCATTGTAGTACGATTGACGATCGCCAAATTTGTGAGCCCAACCGAAGTTTACCAATATCACTGATCGATCCGGCAGCGGGCCGTTGTCTTGTTCCCACGCTTTCAAATGATCGACGGTCAGTAAAAAGTCGCCGTTTCCATTGACTTTGTTACTTACGTTCACGTGTACGCCTATGTATTTTATAAGTACAACGTTATTACGTAGTTTATATATATATATATATATATATATATATATTGCGATATTGTTATTATTAGTTATTAATAAATAAATAAACTCTAAGATTATTCACCTCACACATTATGAATTTTCAAAAACTATTATATTTCATGGAAAAAAAAGAAACGGGAAAAAGATTTTCCGAGGATATGTTTTTATAATAATAATATTAATAATCAATAATCACCGACGCTTCGTCGACTGGATAACGTTAGAAGATTTTAATACGCCTATGGCCTGTGGACAATTTATATCTAGTTAACATTGTGTAAATCTATAAATAAATAAATGAGGCTGAATTGACTTTCTTTTGTGGCAATTTTAAAAATTATTCCTACGCGCAACTCGGCTCTATTTTTTTACTCAAATTTTTACTTGCCAAAAGAAATATTTTATTTTAAAAACAATACATTTATCGCTCCGCTAAGAATCTAAAGTAAATTTTAGAACCACACTAATAAATTATTGGGAACCACTGCCTTATACTAGGCTATACTGGTACTCAGTGGCGTATCGATAGGGTTCAGACAAGGATCCAGAGTAAAGATATGGGGGGAGCCCAAACAATTTTTTTATAGGTACTTAATTCATAATTTAAAATTTTTATCATAATAGTATATATAGATAATCAATGTAATAAATAAATTAATGATTGTTTAATATAATATAATATTTATAAATTAAATAATAATAAAATCTAAATGTCTATTTTCTATTTACATTTTCGCTTTTTCCGATATATATATGTTCACTTTCCATAATATAATAAATTATCAGACGTATATGTGATTTGAAATATAATAATATCAGGATCTGTAGAATTATGAAAAAATTGAGAAATAATATGTTTAGGGGACCTGGGCCCCTAGGCCCTCCCTGGATCCGTCACTGATGGGGTTGCATGACGGGCAATGTGCTATGGACCTGTGACTCTAGAGGGAGGGCATATAAAGAAATGTCGCGAATCCAAAAACAAATCACCATATAAACAAAAATTTAAAATCACAATTATCTTTGGAAAAAATGTACCTATATATTCTTGTAAAATTAAACTGCTTTATGATGGAATAAATTTAATGACTGACCACGATTATATTTATATTTATAGATTATATTATTTGTTAGTTCGTCGACGTTGGTGATATAACTAAATAATAATCAGTGTTGGGAATTATCTAGATAAAATTATTCATTTAATTATCTTATCTAGATAAAAAATTTACAGTGAAAACTGTACACATTCAAGCCTTTCAATACTATAGGTGCAGTACTGTCTAATGCCGTCCACGAGAGAACGTAATCATTTCAAATGTCGTCCACATACCTAGGTATGTCCTAGGAGCTCCTTTCCTCGAGTTTGTAAGACTAAGGTCCTTTTAGATTATTTTGTCACGGCTATTAGAAGTTCTAATTACGCCCACTACACTGGTATACTAACCTATAAACTAACCAAAAGGTATACCAATTTATTGTGATGCTTATTGTTGATATCATATATATATCTACACGTGTATAAAGGTACGATTTAATATGATATCCTTTTTGCCTCTTTAGCTCGCACGAAAACAGCAGTTACCTTCAACCACCGTCCGGTGTAGCGGGATTTCTTGCAGCTTCCAACCGGCCGGATTAAAGTGAAACGGGGCGTCCATATGAGTGCCGCAGTGTTCAGGCGTCGAGAAGCTCTCCGTAATGTACACTCCGTTCGGCCCCGATCCCGTTTGCACGTCGAATACGTTGAACCGCTGTGTTGGGTCCCAGCACGTTGTCGTCCCGAACCGGTAACTGTGACCTAGGTCTATCAAGGTGGCTTTGATACCGTCCAGGAGTAGGGCCGTCGTCGTGACCATCACCAAAACCGCCGAGAACGACGATAATCGTATTCGTGCGCATTCCATTTCACCGATTGGCAATTATGTGTGTAATATACTTGGATATCTACATATTAAAGGTAAGTACCGTCACTTATAAAACTGTAGTTGTCGATTTTATCATATTATGTAGGTATATAATATACCTACTATTACTGCTTATACAACGTATACGGAAAAAACTTGTACACTAATATATTAGTATAGTTTACGAATATACTGCGGGACGAATTCTGAAATTTTAGAATTTTAAGACACGCATAATATCTACGTCCAATACACATATTATTTTCAAACACGTGATCACCGTACGTTTTATTTAACGGTGTTTGATGACTGCAGTCCTGTAATATGCTTCGGAGTATAGGGCAGGCATTGAGGTCTGAGAATAATATACACTATTGCAGAGTTGAATTAAATTGTAGATTATAAATAGACACGAGCGAAGAACTTAAACATAAATTATAATTTTTAACAAATAAGTTTATTTGAATATAATTTTTTTAACTTTCCAAAAATTTAAAGATTTTTTAGAAATTTATTGCAGAGCTTTGCAAAAAATACTGTTTTACTACATTTTTCCGAATTTTACTTCTATTAAATAATATTTATCTACATTCATGATAGTTAAATAGGTAGGTACAATGAACAAGTAATAGAGTATATATATATAGATAATAAAGAAATTGAAAAAATGGAGTGACGGAATATCGTCCTCGAGAAGAATTAATGATAATATATTATTATCACTATTCATAATTATACGAAAACAATTTTAGCTTACTTAATAATTTTCGTTTATAAACTAATGTTTATTGGTACCTATATTTACTACAATTTTGAATTAATACAAAATATTTGTATGTTATAAAAATACAAAGTTTTGTACCTTAAAATTATGCTAAAGTTTTGTTTTTATGTGTTGTAATAAATTTAAGTGATTCATCGATAGGCCATGTTAGGAAAATGATCTAAACCCTCGTTAAACATTTTTAATTACACTGTTTTGTAGCATGCCAAGTGATAAATGTCTATTTTACTTATGTTTAATACTATCATAACTATAAATATATTCTAAATACGAGTAGCTATAGATATATCTATTCATTAAATGTATGCTAAAATATTTAATAGACGTTTAATATTTAATATATTTTTTTTCCTCATATTGTCCTCATTCCTCGGCATATTGCTACATATAATTGAGAAATTATTTATTTGAATTTCGATTTAAATTATTATTTACAGAATAAAAAAACCCCAAAAAAATCACAGTAAGGCCGAAATTTTAAATAAATTCTAACAAAATGTATGTGTTTGAAAATTTGGTCTTCGTTCAAAATTTCAAAAACCGGAATTCAAATTAATTAATTATTATTATTTAATCATAAAATACCACGAACAACGATTTTTCGTATGTACATACCTTTTGCTATTATACGTCAACCGTTCATTTGTGATCCATCGATCATTCCGTTACGTGTATTTGATCTTACTAATGTAATTTATATTGAATGCTAAGTAGTTGCGGTCGTTTAATTAAATAGTGTAATTTTTTTCTCACAATCATATGAGTATCATCGACACATTGACGATGTTTAAATATATTAAAATTCAGGAATTTAATAAAAGGTTATCGCAATATTATACATTTTCGATTATTTAATCGCAAATGCATTACCTTTTAGCGTTCTGTATGTTATATAACACCGTTTTCAGCTTTACATAATATTATGATAACTTGTAACGTGTAGATTATATTAGTAATAATAATGTTATGTAAAGAACAGAATTTTTTTTTTATCAGTTAAAAATATTAATATATAGATTATATAAATCTATAAACTTTGAGTTTATCAGTTTATGCACTCGATATTTTATTTTTTGTGTAGGTGTACCTATTAGATATATATCGGATTAATCACTGAAAAATAATTATAACTATAAGCTAGGCAAGTTATAACTATATTTTTTTAATTCGTCAAGTTAATAAGTTAGTTAGTATGTATGTTAAGTTTAAAATGTTATTATTTAATTTTAAAAGATGTAATTTAATTAGAAAAAAAAAATAAGGCAGATAGGTAAAGGTAAGATTGATATCGCTCTGCTGTACGGTAGATATTGAATAAAGGATGTGCTAAATTTGATTTCAATGATGACAAGACTATTATGTGTCAATTACATATATTTATTATCAATAAATTCATAGGCGTGTGCACGGGGCGAGCCGGTCGAGCACCTGTTCGACCGGAATCTTTTTAGGGGCATAATATAATTTCAACCAGATACTAATACTAATAATAATGAATCAATATTGCATTCGTGGCTAGATTATATGAAACTAAATAATTCCATAAAATCATTTAATGGATTTTTTAGTGTACCGAAATTATTCAGTGTAATACCTGCAGTTACAAGTTGTTCCTGCGCGAACGAATATTTTCTAAATTAACAATAGTAAAAATAACTTAAGGAGCAATATACATCGAGGCCAAGTTAATAGTTTATTATTAATGTTTGCTGAACCAAAATTAACATCTATAATATTAATATTGACATGGTCACTGACGAATTCAAAAGTACACTGTAGCACATACAACTTGATTTTATTTACACAGTTTTTAATTAAATTATAATTAAACTGTATATTAATGTGTTAAAAAAAAAAAAAATAGGGGCACTGTCCGAGTATTAGTGCATTAATTGTTCCAGAATTTACCGGAAATAATATTCTGCGCACGCCTATAACTTTATTATACATAATATATGTATTTAAAAATACAAAATTCAATTTTCCTTCCAATGTTAAATTAGTGATAATATATAAATATTAATGCGTTACCATTTTCCGAAAACTTTAGATTTTTTGTTTTAATCTGGTATTTGGTTGTAATTAGGAAGTGGTTTTCACCAGGAATGGATTCTATTACTTACACACCATTTTGTAAGTATGACATTTAAAACGATTCTGAACGGTGATTATATTATACGACTAGTATATAGTATCAAAAATATCGAATAGTATCAAGAATATCACGTTATACTTACTTTAAATTCTAAACGGAGTAAAACATGTATTGACTTTATAATGATGTGCTCTTTTTTTATGTAGGTATACTGTTCTTAAGTAGTCGATAAAATGTTTTGATTTTTAATTTTGTGGGTAGTTTTGAATAGAAAGTTGGATCTAGTACTTTATACGTTAAAGAGGTAAAATTAAACATTTTTTGAACCATTTTTTATGAGTGCAACACGATTGGGAACGTTTAACCTTTTTTGTAACGCGGTTATTGCGAATGAATGTCGCTTATTGAAGAATTTGTTTTTTTAGCCGAAAAACGAACAATTTTGAACGTTTTTATAGGCTGCGTTGTCAAATTTATAATTTTTGAATATGTTTTATTTTGTTCGGGAATTCAATTAAAACATTTTGTTTTTTTAAATAAAAACTATTCGATATTAATAATACGCACGTTACATTATATCTACGTAACAAACTAAAATAAAATTAAAAAATAATAGTTTTTAAAATGTTTTTTTCTACATTTTTTCTTTTTTTAAAATTTTTTGTCTTGGTAAGGAATTTCTAGTTTTTTTTTTTTTTAAATATAAAATTAAATCCTTGTGGATTTTATAGTCATTATAATTTTATCATGTTGATTCAATTTTAGATTTATCTTTTTTTGGCCATAGGTTTATGTAGGTAAATTGTTTTTATAATAGAATATATTATTATCAAAGTTTGTGCTTGAGTTTGTTTTAAAACATATATATCACTCTGTGTATTAGATGTTAGAGGATGGAGGTTAAAACTGATTTTTTATTTAATAAAAAAAAAAACACTTAAAGTTTAAGTCGTAAAGGGTAAAGTCCAGTTTATTTTATAAACTAATTTATAGACGATAAGGTTAGATTTTAAATATTACTTTTCTTAACCTGCAAGTCTAAATAAAACGGCATGTTACAATCATTATACGTTTGGAAATATATATTTTGAAGCTTCACGAGCTTCAGATCAAAATTCAAATGAGTTTTGAACATTGAAAGTTGAAATAAAAAATTGTTGACATAGTTCCAAAATAAATTTTTACTTATTCAAATAAGTTTATTTTTGTTTTATTCATAAAAAAAACACAAAGTTAAGGCACATAAAAACCATTTGTATAAGGATATGTGTGTTATAAAGTTGTAAAAAACATTTTGGTGGGTATATAATCAAATGTGCCATCTCCAAAAACTCATTTTGTGTTGTCATATAATTACAATTTTTCTTAGTATAATAGTTATACAAATAAATTCGTCATTTTCTCGAACAAAAACAAATTGATCTCCACTATCAAATAAACAAAAAAAATTTTCCACCAATTTCAGTAGAGACATTGCTTCGTTGAATGATGTGAGAAAAACAGAATACATTTTACGTCGCTTATTGTATATTGCTTTACGCACAGATTATATATCACTGTATCTTATATCTGTCAGGGTCAGACTATCTTTATAATTAATTTATTTTGTATAATTTTTAATGGCCTGGTAGAAATATTATCGTCGGCTTTTCTTTTACAGTCATCTCATAATATGTGTCGTTTAATTTTTTGTCGTTAGTTAACTAAATGGTTATGCTAACCGTTTGACTGCGATATGTAGAGATATTAGGTCTAATCTGTAGTTGTTACAATACTTTCAATACTGCAATCTTTGTCTGTAAAAACCGATTGATACATCTATCTTTATGTTTTCTAACAAAACAGTATTTAAAATTACCTAAGAGAACTAACTCGCCTTGCATTTTTCGGACATAATTAATTATTTGAATTTTCATTTCAAAGAGAACTAAACGAAACGAGCACGACATAAATGAATCATAAATAATACTGCACGACTATTATACGAATTGAGCTGGTTTTCCATCATAATAATATAGATATATAGTATTATAAATAAATATTTTAGTATATATTTTACATTGTACCTATACCTAACCTATCTATTACTACTCGGCTTAATAGCAGATCTGTTAATTAAAAAAAAAGATGTTTTAAAATGTATTTCACGATAGGTATATAAAAAATATTTTTGTAGAAAAATTAAAGAAATATGATCAACTATTAACAAATAGACTATTTAAAATGGAAAATTGTCAATCAACAGGCTATTATTGAGCAGGTTACTAACTTAGTTTAATTTCTAAAAACTATATATAGGCGTATAATATTATATTATATAAACTTAATTAAGTATAATCATTTAAATTAAAGAATTACAAATGAATTCTCCTATTTCCCATACTTTTGAATTCGTCAATGACCATGTCAATATTAATACTATAGGTAGATGTTAGTTTTGGTTCAGTAAACATTAATAATAAACTATTAAGTCGGCCTCGATGTATAGTACTCCTTAAGTTATTTTTACTATTGTTAATTTAGAAAATATCCATTCGCGCAGGAACAACTTGTAACTGCAGGTATTACACTGAATAATTTGTACAGTGAAAAATAATTTTAAATGATTTTATAGAATTATTTGGTTTCATATTATCTTGCCACGAATGCAATATTGATTCATTATTATTAGTATTAGTATCTGGTTGAAATTATATTATGCCCCTAAAAAGATTCCGGTCGAACAGGGGCCGGACCGACTCGCCCCGTGCGTACGCTTATGTAGATAGCATGCATATATATACAACACGGTGTGCCCCTTAAACGACAAAATTAAGCAACGGACTAAAATGAAAAGCTATTATACAAATACAAAGACGCTCACAGAAATTTTCACCCGAGGTAAGGTGTACATTAAACATATTTATGCATAGCCATAACATATCATAGTACTTTATACTGTAATAATTTTCATTAAGTGCAGCATATAGCTTATTAAAAAATACAAACTTAGTAAAAAAACTGATGATATAATAATATATGATTAACTGTATATTTTCATCAAAATATTATATGAGACGTCAAGAGCATTAAAATAAAAAAATCTTATAACTTAATATGCACATAAGTCTTATAAATATTCTCTTGTCCGCGTGAAAATATACAAACTAAGTTTTTAAATTAGTACGACAGTCGACAATCTTTGTAAAATGATATGTGACTTGAATAAAAATACACAGACACAGCCGGCAATAACAGCTACAGGTTTCTCCAGCCCCATTTTCGATTTTAAAAATTAATTTTTTTTGTTGCGATTATTAAGCACGTAATTCTTGTAATCATATATATATAACTCCAATTTCGAAATTCACACGACTCTTCTCCCCAATAAAATTATAAGGTTGACGTTTAAGTGGTGGGTACTTTTACGTTATACCCACATAATATATATATATACATATATGTATATAGGCGTATTGCTAAAATAAATATAACTATTAGATATATCTTTGTGTTGTCGTTTTAATTTGCCTGAAGTAGGTATCTAACTCGTCTGTGGGGCGTTTCTTGTATATTATGATTTAATAATCATATTGTTGTTTTTGGAACATTTCAGGACTTACAATATAATAACTGTAAACATCTGGCACGCCAATGATGATTAGTTATATTTATCCATACAAATCATATAACCTTAATGATAATAGGTAGTAATAACAATAAAATAATAATATCATGATTATTTTGTATACGGTGAAGCGTTATTGTTTCTGTGAGACCCGCGCGAGCGCTGCAGAGCATCCAACGCGATAATCGTCCTAAATATTTATTATTATTAGCGGTCGGCGGAGAGCGCGGAAAAACGTATAGGTACCTACTCGGCGTTTCGTCGTGGTGGTCGACGAAGAAAGGAGAAGACGATTTTTTGACGAGGTATTTCTGCTGGAAGAGGAAAAGGACCGTCCCCACCGCTCAGGTCGCTTTTATCTCTGACCGACTGTCCGGCGGGGGGAACGGAAGGCGGCGCCCGAGACGGCGCGGCCGCCTCCTGAGCCATTAGTCCCGCACCGGCGTGCCATTGGGCGGACCACCCGACCTAACCGTGACGTCCGTCGGCCACGCCGCCGCCGCAACTGCACCGCGTCCGTTCAGTCCGCACTCGAACGCCGTCGTAGTCGTTTGGTAATGCCGCACGCGTTATGATAATAATATCGTCAAAACAACAACAGTTATAATAATAATAATAATAACAACGATAATATTGTTCGTGTGGTTTTCGGTAATAATAATAATTTACAATTTTGCGTTTCGTCGGTTCCGTATAATTATTAAATAATAATATCATCATCGTGCACTGCGGTCGACCGATTTTGTCGCGCGCGCGCGGTGTTGTTATCGCCAAAGTTTTTTTGAACCGTATCGCCGTGCTCATCACTGAAACGCGTGTTTACCTAAAGCTAGGGATATCCACAACGTTTATTACATAAAATTCCGCGCGAGCGTAAAGGTCTCGTAAAAATGCCGCGGCCCAGTCGCGACTCGTACGGCGACCAAAAACCGCCGTACAGTTATATATCGCTGACGGCCATGGCCATATGGAGTTCGCCAGAGAAAATGCTTCCGCTGTCCGACATTTACAAGTTCATCAGCGACCAGTTCCCGTACTACAGACGGAACACGCAGCGCTGGCAGAACTCGCTCCGGCACAACCTGTCGTTCAACGACTGTTTCGTGAAAATCCCGCGGATGCCCGACAGACCGGGCAAAGGCGCGTACTGGGCTCTGCATCCGGCCGCCCTGGACATGTTCGAGAACGGTTCGCTGTTGCGGCGCCGCAAACGGTTCAAGCTGGTCAAGTCCGACAAAGACAGGTGCGTTAAGTATACGATAGGCATATTATTAATTATTATACTCTAACTCAACGTTTATCGTCACATTACACACAATACATACACGGGTAGGTACGGGATAACGTATGCATAGCAATCACACTCAACACAAAATATCGTGTACGTTTTGACATTTATTCGCGATAAATAAAATATATGACGGTGTATGTACAAAGGGTGTCGAAAATAAATACCTCGAGGTGCCCATACTCACCAGTCAATTTTTAAGCGTTATTAGTATTTTTGGCATAATATCAAACAAAAATTCATCGAAATACCATATAATAAATTCACACAGAACCTGCAGTCACCCAATCACTCACTAATAATTCTCTGAGGAGTGTCAGTGGGTACCCCTGACCCTTCCTGTGTACATACTTATGTATGTTACGATCAATTTTTCCCGCGTACATCCACATAATACAACGTATTGATTGAACGTTGAGGTATATGCCCGTTGCCCTAAAACACCCAAATATGTATACAATAATAATAACGATGATAGGTATATTATGTATATTCCGCTCACGTCGATCCATTTTTAACGGTTATCATTTGGTTTGTGTGTTTTGTATATACAGATTGGACAACGAACTGATCGCTCTGGCGAACAATTTGGCGCACATGCAGCGCAACCATCCAGCCATGTCGGCGGCCTCGTCGTTGGCGGCCGTTCCGTCGTCGTCGTTGTCGTCGTCGGGCGCGTCTTCCGCGTCGTCGTCGTCGCCGTGTTCGTCGTCGGCCGGCAGTCCGCCGCCGCCTCCGCCGCTGTCGCAGCGACAGCAGCTGCCGTCCACTCGACACGTCGCGTCTGCGGCCGGGCCCCGTCTGCACTGTTACGACGACAACGGCGTCGACGGCCGTCGACGCCGCCGCAGCCGCAACACCGCGACCGCGGTGACGGGACACCGCGAGGCCGTGGACGCGATCACCGCCTGCGCCACCAAGCCGGCGGTCAAGAGACCGTTCGACATCGAGAGCCTGATCGGACCCGACCCGTCGTCCTCCGCGGCCGCACCGCCTCAGCCGCCGCTGACCGCCGCGGATTACTGCACCGACGACGACGACGTCGACGACAACGACGAAGCGGACGACGACATTCTCCGGCGATTCCCGTCCATCGCGCCGGTCGGTTATCGGGCACCGCTGATGGTGCCGTACGATCTGCACCACGCGGCCGCGGCCGCCGCGGCGATAGCGTTTCAGGACCACCATCACCAACACCACGTGATGCACCACAGCCAGCTGCAGCAGTTGCACCACCACCACCAACAGCAGCAACAGCAATATTTACGGTACGCCGCGGCGTCTTATTTCCCGCTGCACAACTAATGTTACGCGGCGCGTACGATGCAAAGGTATACGAGTTTCCTGTCACTGTGCGCAACAACGTTTAACACTGTTTTAGCGCACGTATAGATTATGTTGTGTATATAGGTAGACGATTTCAATAATAATATTGTTATGCAGTCACGTGTTCGGCAATAAGTCGAACGTCGTCCGACCTTTGACCGACCGCACTTTGGATTCGCATACAGCACACACAGGTATAATAATATTATTGTAATACGACGTGTTGCGGACGAGCGTGGCGTAGCGTTTGCGCTCGGCGCGATTATGACGACCGTGCTGCGATGACGATGATAATAATAATATGGCTGGTATAATATCTGATCTCTCGTGTAGCGCGCACACTTTCGCGGCGACGATTATTCTGTAGCAAAACGATATTTAATATTAAATGTCACGACAATGTGACATAATATATTTTGTACATATACACGCCTATCGTAACACGTATAGATTTTCCTATGCACACAATATCACACACGGCTGCAGGTAGATACTACGCGTGTGCTGCATGCACGTTATTACTCGCGTACCTATGCGTACCCGCGATATACCTATGCGGCGTGTAAATAATAACATATTATTATTTATTATTTTAACCGTCGTTCTTAGATCATACATCAATGACTATTTGTTTGTTTGTTTATTTGTTTGTTTGTTTTTTCCCCTATCTGTATAAGGTCTGTACAAATTAGCCATCATTATTTAAATACTTATTATTGTAATAGCATGTTATACTGTCGCATGTCGTTGTACGATATACACATAATATGCGTATATAAATATTATATGTTTTAATCGCCTTAACTTTATACGTGATGATGCCTACTATAAAGTTATAAAATAATGACGTACTGAACCTATATATGTATATTATATATAATATATTATATATACATTACAATATATTTATTGTGTAAGAAAATTAAATCGTAGTTTTTAGTATTCGTTATTCTGTGATGTAGTTTTTAATGTGCAGTAATAATTATTAATTCTTTTATAAATATATTATATTAAATATATATATATCGATACGATTTCGTTTGCTGTCCACGATGTGAAATCTATAACCTTATTCTGATATACACACGTACCTAGGTATAATTATTAGATACATAATATACCTATTGCGAACACTCATTATTATTATCATCATTTGTTTTTAGTTTTTTTTTTTTTTTTTTTTATACATACTATATTATATTCATATAAATGACTTATAAAGTTATATGTTATATAACACTGTTACCCCAATATTCCTCGTGTAAACGTTTGAAGGAAAAAGGTGAATAATTATTTATTATTTATTATTATTATTATTATTGTAAGGTATTATAATATTTGAGATTGTAATAAAACCGTATTCGTAGAATTTGAATTATATATAACCTATATGTATAATATTCAAGTGCAGTGTAATGTTTGTCGAATAAATGTGCAATTTCGTAGAAAAAAAAAAATATGTTGTTTTTTTATATTTATACTTTTATTTATTTATTTTTTGTTTACAATATACCTTTTTTCAGGTATTATAATTACGGTATTATCTGTTTGAATATTGTGCGGAAATAAAATAAACTAAATTATCCTATTCGTGCGTATTTTACGTACCTACATATAATTTATATATATAACATATATCCTAACCTAAGTTTTATGTGCTGCAGTTGCGTGCGTCATCAGCAGTAGACATCATTTTCGCTGTTTATATATAAATAAGTACCTACAAAGAGTCAAATTAAATTTCAGAAATTCAACAATACTAAAACATTGAGTAAGTATATTGACATAGTTAATTTCATTAACGGTTATGAAAAATACAGAAATTTAATCGCTGAAACATTTTTAAGTGGCCATTCCAATATTTAATTATATTAAAAAAAAAAAAAAAAAAACATTTAAAAATTACATTTATTAAAATATGTTTATATTATATAAATGTTCACTATAGTATAGTACTACTGTCGTTTGTGGTCCGATTATTTAAGCGTATTGAATTACATTACAATGTATATTATTATTATTATTGCGTCGGCGTTGTTTCGTTTTTTCATAGTGATATGGGTGTATGCTGTATAATGTATAACATAATATAATATAATATCATATTATGCGTGATGTATACAATCACTGAATGCTATATTATTATCTGCGTAATATTTGCATCGCAGCGACTGAATGTCACGTTATCGCTGTAATCGAATGGAAAAGGTCGCGTCGTTTACCATACAATCATGTTTAAAGTGTCTAAAATAATTTTATAAATAAAGTATAATAAAACGTATAAAAACTTCTCATCATTATCGATAATAAAACAAAAAAAAAACACGCGCTTTTCTCGGTTTGCATAGATTACACACTGAATGAATAGCGAACACACTGTGTATGTGTATGTGTGTTTTAATAACATAGCGAACGTTTTCTATAGTCACCATATTGTATAAAATACAAAATATACAAAGTGTGATTCAAGTAGGAAAAAATATTTCTTTCAAACAAATAGGTACGTTATGAACGGTTGGTATAGGTATACATAGTATTATAGTTGCATACCGTGAAGGTCAAAATGCAATTATTTGTTTTTACATTTTTTTCAGTATAGTAAAGAAACCAAGAAAAATCTCGTGTCACAGCTGTACAATATACTGGATGGAAGCGCGTATCTATTATTTACACACCGAAACGACCTTAAAAATTACCTATTTTTTATTTTACGTCGGATAGTTTAGCGAAACGTATATATTAATTTGAACAACCGTGCAGTAAAGAATAGGCGCGGTATAGACCGTATTATAAAATAATTTGATTTATGTCTACAAAAGGATGAGCGTGAATTGTCTTGTGAAAATAAATAGTGTCTTGCATACTAAGTAGTCGTCGCATTATAGTTAGGCACTATAGGTACGTACATTCGTGATAAATGATTTAATCGATATTTCATCCTTATTATTCGCACATATAGGTAGGGTAGGTATACGTGTGTGAAGTTGGTCTCTGCAGTCCACCTCTGCCGAGTTATTCAAAACAAACTGCGTGGTGTGTATATACCACAATTTTGTGTTTGTAAGTAGTCGTAAATTCTATTCTAATATGTGAGCGTTTGCAACAACAAAGTCATTGCCCGCCGAATTAGGTTTTGAGCTGTAGCCATTTATCACGAACACATCGTTTCTTTTCGTACCAATCCTAACTGTAATCAAACAAAATTAATTTTCCTGTCGATAACAAGTACCTAACTTGTATAATATTATGAATTATGATGTACGTATAATAGTTGGTAACACAACGTTTTATATTTATTAATATATAATATATATAGATTTACATAATTATTTAATATTTTTAACAAATTCATATTTTAAAATTATTAAATAATATTTCTGCAGCAATATTTTATTCGATACCCGTAGAAATATAAATATATCATCACACTTACATACGAGCATTTTACCAAGTTACTATGCAGTATATTATATTTTATTAGAATGATACTTGCGATAGATGTCCGGATGCATAAAAATAACTGTTTCACGACACAAAGATATAAATAAAGTATCCAGTGTTGAGTGTAATATCATACGTTTTACGTTTAAACTTCATAAATGTTTGTAAGCTATTCACTTTGAATTAACAACTTTGCCATCTAAATTTTCGAAAAAATACCATTAGCGATGCGTCGAAGTATCGGTCAGCGTATGCGCAACGCGAACCAACTACACGGTTGTCGTGAGTCAATAATGAGACGGACGAAGACCGTAAACAGTATTTGGAGAAAAATTGAATAAGAATTTCTCAAGCGCGATCCAAGACAATGTCAGTATATTATTGTAGCTTGTAAAAAGACTCATAAACTATTTTATTTTATTGAGATTTTTCTCAACGATATATCAGAAAAGTTTAGAGTCTATAGCTTGAATCATGTTCGAAAATATAACAAGTTCTAGATTAAATCCGAGACAGTCAGATCGCTCACCTCTATCAAATAAGTTCACAAATCAGTACATAAACGCCGATTTGCAGCACGCAGCTCTATGTCCCCTGCAGTTCCTCAGTATGAAAGTCGGATAATTTTGGAAGGGATTGAGCACCCCATCTACGGGATTACAAACACAAACCGGCACATATAAATGGAGTTAATTTTGTTTGGATATTCCAAAGTGAGGTACGGAGCTCCGATTTGCCCGTAAATGAATGTACGGCAAGACGGGAGTACAGCCACGGTATATAGAATTCAGCTATTTAATATCTGTTCATTTATTTTTGGGACAATTGAGTTATACAGGTATAGTATATTATAAAACCCGCGTAAAAAAATAATATATAAAAACGAAATAAAAGTTATGCAAAATTAATATACATTGCCAAATGATCAAATGTGTTCAATGTAATATACATCTACATAATGACTTTTTTACGTCACGTCATTATATATACAATGTACGTATAATGATGTTGTGTGTGTACTCATGTGCATGTAAACTTGTACATACACGTGCGTCGTGCATATAATATATCGTATACACGGAATATTATGTAGGTACTTGGTATTTCGGTAGATATATATAATAATAATTTTTCATATATATTTATTATTATCATGGGTATATCAAGCGTGTGCCTCAATACGACTGGAGACGATTTTCTTCGACTCTCAGCCCTTGGGCGTACTTATTCGTAAGCGGATAATATAATATAAGCGCACGCGTGCGCATATAATATATAAAAGACCGTTTAGATGTTAATATTTTGATCAGAGATTTTTTCAGCGTTTTTTTTCTCGCAGCGTTGGATATTTAATCAGTGATAATTCATATTCATATGATTCTATGACCAATGTTTTATCAATGTATTTGTAGGCATTCCAATCTATAAAACAGAAGAGTGTAATAGTAAAATAAAATACAGCCTGAATTGGATTCATTACCAGCTGCTATCTGAGTTACTACAAATAAATAAAATTACGCATTATATATCGTCGTACGTTGGTACTCAGTTTTCAGTGGTTTATGATTTTTCCTGAAATACATCTTTGGAATCCTGAAAATTACGTAAATATATTTTTGTTTTTTATATAATATGTTATATATATATATGATAGCATATATCAGTAATGTCTTCGATTATTTATTATTATTATTTATTTTATATATTATGACTATTATGTACACGGAAATTTATACACCAACGATTCTACTAAACATATTAAACTACCTTATGTTATAATTTATAACATATAATATTTAACACGTGTATTAGGATTTTTTAAGGATATGCAATTTATCGATTTTCTTATTTATGAACCATGATAAAAAAAGCTTTGAAGATCATCATCTCCCGACTCTTTCCATAATTGGATTGGACATAAGTACTGAAATAAACACAACTATTAAGTGTTATATAATTAAATAATCCAATCTAAAATAGTCAACATAGACATTTAATCTTGCAGCTTAATAGATATTTATATGATAAACACTATTAATATCATTAATTTATATACGAAAGAATCAATTAACTCGGGCCAGAAAATACACGTAGATACTTTTTATTTAATTATTATTTCTCTTTTTATCCACGAATAATTTATAGGATCGTAATTTGCTATATACAGCCAATTATATACCCAAGTAATTTTATAGACCACAATCAGTTTCGCATGTACCTACCTATAATTTATCACACTCAAAACAATATTGAAAACTTATCTATAAAATGTAAGTTTTACAATAACACAGCCATTAGACAAGATTAATTTGATTAGAAATTGTAATGTTTTCTTTACCGGATTTATAATATTGTAATATGTGGTTAATTTCGTTATTATACTGCAATAGCCCGCTCAAAACAACTTAGTATACAGGTACATTAGTACATTACATACAATTAATATAATGTTTAAATTATTTTAATATTAAAGTTAATAATAAGCACAATTTATTCATCATTAACCCAATGAAAAGTAGATGATTTTGATTTATATCATGAAAGTAATGTTAAGTGTTAATATATTGTTTAATAGTGCAGATATTGTAGTTATTGTACCTATTACTATTGCTACTTAACGATCCCGAAAGTTAGTTTTTTAATTTTTTTACGCTGTTAAACATCAGAAGTCTAGAAATATTAATCGTTAAATCTGTATTAGTCTGTATTACAGTAAGAGTAAGAGTCA